TCGTGGTTCTGGGCCGTGTTACCCATCCCCTGCACACAAAATGCACCTGAAGTCAAAGACACCCCTGCATTTCACCCTGGGCTTGTTCCTGCCTTCATTCCCTCTTTTAAGCTGCAGACTGGTATTTTCTTTTTTTGTTGGATATAGCAAATCAGCTTTCCCTGAGCACAGCAGGTTCCTGCAGCCTGCTCCTCACCTTCAGAGATGAGGCTGCTCTGGCCTTGATGGGAGCTCAGAAATTGAATCGTTGCCCAAATCCAGCCCATTTGGCTGCCACGATTAATAGGATATTATTTTGGAATTGGAGAGGGGGGAGAAAAAAAAAGTGGAAGTCCATGTTCATTTCAAGCCAAGCACAGTCTGAGGCTGTAAATCCAGACTCTGGTGACAGCAGATACATTCAAGAATCTCCCAAATTCCTGGCAACGGGGGAATTATTCCCTGGCAAAGCCCACATGGCAGAAAACACCTGCAAATATGCAAATTTCTCCACTGAAATAAGAAAAGGGAAGGGGGAGCAGTATCCATGAGAGCACTGATTCATAAATACATTGAAGTGATATTTGAACTAAGTGTTGCTGCCTGTTGATCTCATACCTGAACCTCAGACTCACAATTTTCGGTGCTCCAGCTGCAAAAGGAAGCTGAGATTGTGAGCAGCACATCCCACGTGATGCTGGCTGAGCATGCACCCTATGGACTTTGACCAAAGGCCCTGCACCTACTCCAAATACCACAATTTTATGTGAAACGCTCTTGTTTTCCCCAGCCAGGAGTCTCAGTGGAGCAGCTGCAGAGCTGAAATGTTAGCTGCCGGTGGTTTGTTTGCAGCCCTAGGTAGGTGGCAGGTTGTTGCTGGTGTAAGATTAACCTGCAAGCAGCTCCTGTGGGTTGTGCAATGTGCATTTTGCCTCATCAGCACCACCTCAGCTTCTCCCCACTCACACTCCCATGACACAGGCACTTGGCAAGGGCACGGCGAGCAAAGCCGTGGCACGGTCAGCCCAGGTGCAAGCCTAGCAAAGCCTGGACTAGAAGCACATTTCAGCTCCAGTTGTCGATTTATCTTTAATTAATTTTTATTTTTTTAAGGTTGCCCTGTTGAATTAGTTTAAGTGCTGTGCTGGAGGTGCCTGCTTTGGGTTAAGAGGGGGGGAAAATGTTCATTAAGAAGTTTAAAAACCTCCCAGGCTGGAGGAATTACCCAGCTGGGGAAGAGGAAAATGTGGTTTGTGCAGAAAGTGTTTGGCTGGGGAAGAAGCAAAGCGCTGCTGTGTGTCCCCAGGTGAGCCAGGGGTGCTGAGACACCTGGGTGAGCCCCTGCCCTGCCCTGGGGAGGTGTTTGCCCTGTCCCCATGTCCCAGCATGTCCCCAATGTCCTGACAGCACTGGTCAGGGCAGCAGCTCCCCAGTGCTACCCAGGCTCTTGGTAGGGGCAGAACATAAATATTGCAATTCTAGCAATAGAAGTGCTAAGTTGCAGGAAAAAGGGGGGCAGAGAGCTGAGTGCTCCTGCCAGGCTCCTTTTTGTTGTTTTAGTCACCAAAACCTCAGAGCTTCCTTAGGGGTGAATTCCCTCCCCTGACACGTCCCCAAGCTGCTCAGGTGATGCTCCATGAGAACCACAGGAGGGGTTTGGAGAGGTGGGACACAAACTGTGAAATGTGGTTACAGCAGATTTGCAGATTCTGGGTCCTGTAGTTGGAAATACACAAGGATGTGTAAAAAGTTGCCTTTTTCCTCCCAAAAGTGCCTGTGTTTGTTGTCACTTGGGCTTTTTCTCTTTCTGAAGAGCTGTGACAGTACCTCTAGAAGCCTCTCTGAGAAGGATTGGAAACCAGCACACCTGAAAAAAAGCTCTGATCCCTTTTTTAAGCTGGAAAAAGAAGAATACTCTGAGAATTTTGTTAGCACAGGAATGGGGATGCTTTTCCAGCCCTCTGCAAACGCACTTGGAGGCCCAGAGCTTCTTCCCCTGGCCATTGTGATGATTCCCAGCCCTGCCCCAAGGGATTCACCCCATGAACTTGCACTCCTGATGCTGCTCCAGAGCAGAGCTCTGCCCCTCTGGGGCAGTGGAAGCACAGGGCAGGTCACAGCTGGGATGGCAGCGGGTGGCACAAGCCATTCTGAGTCAGAATTACTCACCAGGAGTCCCTTCCTGCTGTCACTCACCTTTTGGGGGACCATTTTGGGGTGCATTTACAGGTTGGCAGCGTGGCCACCGGCAGCATCGTTAGAGGAAATGTTGAGTCAGCCTCCAGTGGCCAGAGAAATTGCAGGAGCCTTCTTTTCATTTTGAGACGTGGACAGAGCTATAATTAAAAAAAATAAAAATCTGTTTCATTACCTGTGGAGTTCCTTAGGGCCTGTCTGGGAATAGTTTTAAGGGATTAGCATTATCAGCTCGAGCAGGGTTAGCAGGGAAGCAGATCCAGGAGGCTGGAGCTGTGCCACGTCAGATATTATGGTCTGGTGGCCAAGTGGTGAAGGCCATTTTCGGTGCAATTTCCATATCTGCTCATTGCGCAAAAAGGGGCTTTTTTTTTTATTTTTATTTTTTATTTTGTCTTCCAAAGCCACAATATTCTGCACTTGACAAGTGTGAATGGAAGGCTGACTCCTGCTCAGTGGCCTTGGCTCAGTGGAAAGCAGTTTGGAGAGGGGAAGTCTGAGGCTGTTGCTTTCTCTTGTCTCAAAGCCAGAATTAAACCCATCCTTCAAATCTCCCCGTCCTTTTAAACTGGGCATTCCAAACACAGAGGGTTCATCCCAGCAGGAAAATCTCTGGGGTGCTGAAGCATTTCTGGGTCATCTTTCCTTTGGACATGGTGCAGGGAGATGCTGAACATCCTCAGTGGAAGCTCCAAGCAGCCTCTCGTGCATCCTGGTCCTGCTGGAGCTGGCAAAGCTGTGGCAAATCCCTCTGGATTTACATCCCATCCTCAGTCAGGATTGCTAGGGGCAGGCTCAGGAAGGCTCAGGGGTAGGAGCTACTCTGGCTACATCCCCCAGTTGCTGTTGGAGCAGTGGCTGTGGCTTGTTGATGCAAAACCTTGAGTCCTGTGTGGAGCCCAACGCAAACAACCTCTGCAGCTGGGGTAGGGTTTCAGGTTTGTAAGAGAAAAAGCTTTTTTTTTTTTTTTTTTTTTCCCCCCCTACTCGAGCAGGAAAACTTCACAGAGCTGAGCTGATCCAGTTTCTTGCTGGTGCTGTTTTGTTAGCCTACTTAGCCTGCAATTTTATAATCAAGGCTGGGTTTTCTTAGCCTGCACCCTGGCAGATCAAAAATCGTGAGAAGAGCTGAAGCCCGAGCAGCAGCCACTTGTACTGCATTCAGATGAAAACGGTGGAGGGGGGGGAAAAAACAGAAAGAAAAAACCCAGCAGAAGTTGCAGATGAGATGCCAAAGATAAGGCAGCAATAGAAAATCAGTGCAGGAGTCAACACTTCACTGTGTCTGCAAGAAGAGGCCTTTAATGAAGGCTGAGTCAGCACGGACTTGGGAGCTGCTTTTGAAGGAGAATCTTTTTCTAAACAAAAATAATGTAATTGCACTCAATGAAGAATGCTTATCAGTGCCAAATGGCCTCAGAGCATCGCGTGGCTGCTGCGTGCAAGTCCCAGGGATGGGGTTTTTGTGCCGGTGCTCATCCTGCAATGGGGGCTGACCCTCGGCCTCCTCACTCCTGGCTTTTCAGCAGGGCTCATTTCACACTCACGCAACAAGTTATAAAAATTACAGCTTTGCTCCATGGTATCATGCCTCTTACGAATGTTTATTGCTTCTCCAGTAGTTCAAGGTCAGATATAGAAAATGACTCAAAAGTCTTTTGTTGTTCTGACAGCTCTAAAGTGATGGAAGGCCCAATCCAGCAAAGACAAACCTTCCCAGAGAACTGGCACCGAAAGGGAAGGGAGAAAGAGTATTTTAATGTTAAAAGGCAAACCCAGCATTGATTACTGATGTTTTAAAGAAGGTTTGGGTTAGATATTAAGAAAAATTTATTTCCTGTGAGGGTGGTGAGGCACAGGGTGCCCAGAGATGTGGCTGCCCCATCCCTGGAAGTGTTTAAGGGCAGCTTGGACTGGGACCTTGGGACAGTGGAAGGTGGAAAGAGATGAGTTCTTCCAAGCCAAACCATTCCATGACTGGATGATTCTTTCCCTGGATTTGCTCCATTCTCTCACATCTTCGGTGTGCAGAGCCCGGGTCAGAGCCCGCTGGAGTCGCTGCCTCAAGTCCCTGCACGTAGGAGGGGAAACAATCCCTGCCCCAGTCCCTGCCAGAGCAGGGCACACCAGCTCAGAAGGGCTCTTTTGGCACAGCTCTGCCTGCAGGGTTTGTGCAGCACCAGGCACAGCCCTGGGCACCTCTCCAGCGCTGGCAGCTGCCCCCACAGCACAGCCACACTTCCCAGCTTGGGTTTCAGCACAGCCCTTTTTCCTAGGGCTGCTTTAATTGCCTGCAATTAGGGTCTCCAGTGCTGCAAAAGTATGAAGAAGTAAAACCCAGTCTGGCTTTGTAAGGGCTGGGATTGATTTCTTCTCTCAAGCAGCTGATGCCGTGACCTTTTAGAAGGGAACTGTCAGCTTGTGGCTGTGGGGTTTGTGCATGTGACTGCCCAGGGTTAAAGCACAAATATGGGATATTTATCGTAGTTTTATCCAAGGTGCACCTGTAAGAGCTGAGAGGAGCTAAAGGAAGAGACAGGGACTTTACATGCTGCCATCAAAATGCCAAAACCCCTTGGGGCTAAGCTACATCTTAAGTAGATTTGTTTAAGCACTTGGCAAAAACGCCTGGAGCAGAAGCCCAAGGCACAGCACAGGGTTGTGGCAGCCCTGGGGGTGCAGGGGGTCACCCCAAACCCTGCAGGAGGAGGTCAGGGTCTGGCCAGCTGGGTGCCAGAGGTGCAGACATAGCCCTGACCATCATTTCCTTGCAGGTTTGGCAGTAGCAGCAGGACAGGGAAGCTGCTGCGCCGGAATCGGAGCCCCACTGAGGTTTGGGATGTGGAGATGAATCCTGCAGTCAGTCCTCTCCTGCAGGTTTGCTTCTCTGAAGAGAAAGATGCTGCTGGTTAATGCAGAAGTTCCCTCCCAAGCAGACCTTGGTACTTAACTGTGTTAATTAAATGCTTTCAAAAACCACAAGATTGACCTTCACTGCTTGCCCACAGATTTTTCTCTCATTTAACAAGCAGAGGGTTGTCAGAGTAGCCTATTAAAGGAGAAGAAAGGCACTGCTCTAATACTATTGGGTTTTAACCTGTTCCACAGTGTTTTTCTGCTTTTTAACTCCCAAGAGATGAAAACCACAGTCCTCTAACAACCCACCAGGAGAAACCAGGCTGAGACAAGGAGTTCTTGGCTGAAATAAGGCATAAAATCTGATAAAATAGTGAAAATACTTCAAATTTAGGTTTTTTTAGGTATCTGTGCAATATGCCAAGACAACCATGTGCAGCCAGAGAGCTCTGCTCTGTGACATGGAATTGTCCTTTGGGACCCTCTAGAAATAAATAAAAGCAAATAACACAGACTCTGACTTCCTTACCTTTCCCAAGGACACCAGCAATTTGCTCATTGCTAATGAAACTTTTGAACATCTCTACAGAAAACTTGGATCCCTGCCAAGCAATCGGTTTTATAAATTAACCTGGAGAGCAGATCATGCATTGCATGGAAGGACATCCCACATCCCAAAGCAGCCCCTGACAGCAGCATCAGAGCTGGTGGGAGAGCCCAAAATAGCCCCTGGCAGCTGGGGAGGATGACACAGGTGCTGCATTCAGAGATGATGAGAAAAGAGTTGCTTTCTGGAGACAAGAAATGAATAAATTCTTCACTGAAGGAGTGTTGGGTCATGGGTTGGACTTGATGATCTCAAAAGCTCTCCTTCAACCTAGTTCATTGAGTAATTCTGTGAAATGAGACAAGGCTGAATTGGCAGAGTTTGGCAGAGGGAAGCACCCCAGGGTTGTCCCTCTGCAGGTCCCTGTGGGGTGACAGCCAGGGAATGTCCCCTTGCTCAGAGCCACCTGAGCTGGGCAGCGCCTCAGCCTTCCTCCCAGCATGGCCTCAGCTCCATTCATGTCACCAGGCAGCTTCCTTTACAGCCAGCCATGCCTTTTTTATTATTCTTTTTTTTTTTTTTTTTCCCTTTCTTTTTTTCCCTTCCCCTCAAAAACATTGGGTACTTCCCCCGCAAGAAATGAGGAGCTTTCTGTCTGATAAGGGGCTGGAGCAGCTTCCTGCAGTAGGAGAGAATTCCTCCTCTGGCTCTTCCTGCGCCGAGCCTGAACAATGCCAGCGCTTCCAGCCTCGCTTTACCTCGGATAATCTCATTTAGGGTCCATCCTGTGCGAGCATCTCCTGCCAAGGGGGGCTGCTTTTCCAGCAGTTTGCTTTTAAAAGGTTTTTTTGAAAAGGCATCGCCACGGCAGAAAGGCAGGAGCAATCCGGAGCTTCACTCAGCGCTGATGCAGCTGTAGGGGCTGAAGAATTTTTTTTCTTTTCCCTTAAAGGAGAGGCTAAATAGGATTTTTTTTCATGTCTTCATCCTGAAAGTGCACGTGGTAAATGGGAGCATCTGAGTCCTTTTGCAGGGCTCCGTGGGACTGAATGTGCTTGGTTAGGGTTGAGCACACACGAATAAGAATTTACAAAGTTGGGGTGTATTTTGTCCTGGTTGCTAAGTGGGATGGACATTATGGATCTGTGTTGATGATTTATGTTATCCTGCTTCTCTTGGTTACTTTTTCCCCCCCTGTTTCTGCTTTCCTTTTTTCCCAGTTTTGCTTGTCTGCTGATGCACATGGAAGGCAGGATCCTTTTTGGGAGTGTGAGTGTATGAGTGAAACTACAGCCTCAAACCTCACACGGGGAGTTCTGTGGAGGCTTTGACAGAAGGGCTCATAAAGGGACGTTTGTATTTTCAGCTTCTGCTTTAGAAGGCTGGGTGGAGAGATGTGACCTGACGGGCTTTGATCCATGTGGACATATGTAGAGAGGAAAAAAAAAAAATCTGCCCACTTGTGTCACTTCATTGGGATGACAAGACTTGCTGTCACAAGTCTGTCACAGTGCTGTGCTGCCATGGATTTCTGCAGTGTGTTTTCCAAATTGAGATAAAATTGCATGACAAAACCTGGGGAAAGGCTTTTGTTCTTGATGTTTGGCTTGTGTTCTTTATATGCCAGACAAGGAAGCGTGTGCTTTTCTGGGGGAGACTGAGGAGAGATCTCAGCAATCTACAGCTTCTCCCCAAGGTGCAGCTCCAATCTCTGCTCCCTGTGACAGGGACAGGAGCCAGGGAGTGCTGGAGCTGTGTCAGGGGATGGGGATGGATTTTAGGGAGAGGTTCTTCCCCAGAGGGTGCTGGCACTGCCCAGGCTCCCCAGGGAATGGGCACAGCCCTGAGGCTGCCGGAGCTCCAGGAGGGTTTGGAGAGTGTTCCAGGGATGCCCAGAGTGGGATTGTTGGGGGTGTCTGTGCAGGGCAGGGTGGGGTTGTTGGGGTGTCTGTGCAGGGCCAGGAACTGCCCTGGATGGGTCCCTTCCAGCTCAGGTTGATTCCAAGGAGGTGTCTGGCAGGTCGTGCTCTCTGACCTCTGCCTTAAACGGGTTTGAACTTGAAAGAGCTTCCCTGGAATCTGCATCCACCTTGCCCTGCACAGCCTGGAGCTCCTGGAGCCTTCCTCCCGTGCCAGCCTGCACTGCCCAGGTGTTGGCAGCGTGCAGAGCTGGTGCCCTGGTGCTGGTGGAGCAGCTCCAGCCCTTGGCTGTCGGTGCCCGTGGGCTCCTGGTGCAGCCCTGGCCATGGCTGGCAGTGCCCTGGATGGGAGGGCAGGGCTGCTGGGCTGCCAGGGCTCAGGGGTCCCCTCTGAGGGGTTTGGTGTTCCTGCAGTTCCTTGGCTTCTCCCTGGGAATAAACTCCTGGGTGAGTTTAAAGCAGGACCCAGGCGTTGGTCTGGAGGCATTGCCGGCAGAGGGAGCAGGAGGTGGTTCCTCCCCTCTGCACTGCTCTGAACTATGAAATACCATCTTGAATCAGCATCTTCAATAAGCAGGAAAGCTCTTGCATCATTAAAGAGTAGCAAGAGAGCTGTGTGATGCTGTAGCACAAAGGGGGGTTGATCAAAACCCTGACCATGCTGAAACTTCATCTCAATACTTGGCTGAACCTTTTGCCAAAATTCCCCATGACAAAATGCAAGGAAGCAGATCCTTTCCTACCGTGCCAGAGCTGCTGGTCTTGTGGTGTTCCTCTCATGAAGGAAAGCTCTGGGCAAAGTTGCCACCTGATTTCTGCCCTGCACATGAATTAACATGAATTAACATGAATTAACACAGCCCTCCTGTTCACCAGGGCCTTCTGCAGAAGGTGAGGGTGCTCAATAAAGCAATGGCTTGTGGCACACTCCTGTTTCCATGGGTATTCCCATTTGACTCTGAACATTTCTGATGTTTAATAACTCAAACCATGACCAGATCAATGGGCAGTTTTCTCTCTGTGCAGCACAAATGGCCCATTTTATCCCAAGGTATCTTTACTCATGAGCAGAAAATTATAACTCCCAAGTTTTACCTGCAGAGCATCAGCAGGAGATGTCTGCTAGCAGTGCACTTGAAATGTCCAAATTAATAATATGCTGAACAAACCCAATCTGTGCTTGGTAAAACAAGACTCGTGTGGCTGCCTGGGGTCCCTGACAACAGAAATAAAACTGTTCCTCACATTGCCCTGGTTGGATTTTATTGCAGCCTGCTGTGAGGGGGATGGCTCTGGGATCCCACAGGGAAGCAGAAGCATCTCTGAGGGGGAATGGGGCTGCATTAGGTGTGGGAAGCAGGAGCTGGAGGATAAATCTGTGCCTGCTCTTCTGGGGACAGTGACATCCCAGAGGGTTTGTTTTCTGAGCCCCCCAGGCGAGTCCTTCCTGGCCCAATCACACCCTTGTGATAGCCAAGCCCTGCTTTTCCCAGGGTTAAACCTGGCTCTTTTAGCTGAACAAGCCTCAGCACTTGCCATGGGGCTTTGCCAGTGGGTTCAGTGGGGCAGCATGGGGAGGGTGGTGGTGAGGAGCCACCAGTGTCCCTGTGTCCCTTCAGGCTGTCCCTTTAGGGGCTGGGAGCCGTAGCCAGGTGCTGCAGCTGAGCCAGGAGTCTGGCACTGCCTTTACACCCCTGATCCTGCCCAGCCTGGCACTTAGGCCAGCCTTAACGGGAGCGGGAGCTCAGGCTGAGCAGCCCAAGGCACAGAACCCTCCCAGCCGTGGGTGGCAATGTCACCTTTCCGTCCCAAAGCCATCTGCACTTGCAGCTGACAGCTCCAGGAGGCTCTGGCTCGGGAAGTGGGTGCTGGCAGGGGCAGAGGCAGGAGCTGCTCTGTGTTTTCAGGGGAGATGCAGCTCTGCTGCAGAGCTCTGCTGTTTCAAAACCCCTTTGCAAGATCTGCTGGGAGAAAATCCCAGCTGCACTGAGCACCTTAAAAAACTGAAAAACAATATTGGGACTGGAGAGAGACCTTGAGCAAAAATACATCTGTAGGGTGGCTGATGCGAGCACATCTTGTCACCCTCAGAAAATTTGGGTTTGAGGCTCCACGTGGCAGTGGGGAAAGGAGTTGAACTTGATGATGTGGATCCCTTCCAGCTTGGGATATTTATAATTCATTGGGGTGGATACTTTATTGTTGGGAGCAGTGGCTCTGGGAAGTACAGAGGAGTTTTTAGCTGGGGCTCATGGATTTAAGGCAAATCCTGCTCCCCTTGTGGCTGAGGCAGATGGAACACCTGCTTTTGTGTTTGTAAATGTAGGACAGTTGCTGCTGCCTGCTCGGGGGTTCGTGTGGGAGGTTGGTTGGAGTCCTGTGGTCACTCACGGTGGTGTTCAGAGGTGAAATCTTGGTGGGTAAGGGGAAAGAAAAAAAGCAAGTGGCATGCAGAAATTGCAAACAAAAATTGCAAAAAAAGCAAATACTGGGATGGTGCCCAGCTCATGGGTGAACTTGCAGCATCCCCTCAGTTGACATCCTGCTATGGGATCTTCATCCCCTCAGCCATGGGGCTGCATGGGGAGCACCCACAGGCATGGCAGGCTCCCTCAGGGGA